GAATAAAAGGAGTAAAGTGGCCAATCAGTGTTGTGTACACGTGTACGGAAGTGCATATAGCCTATCATATGGGCCATATGTGAGAGTCCCGTGCTGATCATGCGACTTGTTATTGGCTAGACTCCAAGTGCACGCGTTCCGGGTAAGGAACTTCTAGGAATCTGTTTACTCTTTACAAGAGTAAGAGAGTTCCGCTCGGCGCCATCTAGTGGCGCGGTCCGCGGTAGGGCATTGTCGCCCTCCACATGCACATGCCTAAGATCCTGATGAGTTAGAGAGCTGGGGAAACACGGTAATGAATCCCTGTATGTGCTTCTGTCTTTCACTCAACCTTGAGTGGATATGCATGCTCTATCATGAATAAAATAAACTGAAAAAAGAAAATGCAACAGAAATCTAAATTTGGAAAGTTTCTGCCTACTAGTGCTTCCATTCTTTCTTTATTGCTTTTAGGTTTTTGCCATAGGGCCCATATGTTCACTGGAGAGAGACAGAGAGAAGGAAAGGGAGAAATGGAGAATAGCCACACCACAATCCCTTCTCTTCTATTCTCTTGGAATTTTGAGTACATGCACACACATGTGCCCAGTATGATTTTTAAGCTGAAAGGTCCAAGACTCAACCCAGAACTAGCCCATGTTGGAATCCAGTGCCTTAACCACCACACCATCTGCTCGCAACAGTGTTTTACTTTTTGGCAGAGTCATTATTGAAAAATCCTGAGGCTGAATTGGTGGATACATGGGCCTCACCAAGAGTAAGCACAAACCACTAGCCAGAAGAGTGAAGTCATCTGAAATAATTCAGACTCTACTAAGGCACCACATGACTAAAGCCTCACTTGCCATCCATTCAACCAGAACAGAAACTACCCAGCTGAACTCACACCAGAGTGTAGACCCAAGGACCCTTGAACAAATAAATTGGTTAGTTTTTACAATACTTGGTTTGTTACTTACCCAGAAAATGCTAAACAATACATTTAAGCCCCAGCAATGTTTTTAACAATATCATAAGAAAGTCTTAAATACATGTCTGATACAATGAATAGAACTTCACAGCCATGTGTAAGACTTTTGAAAAACCTACAGAGCAATTTTGTGTACATTAGTAGATGAACTGTTAAGGTTTTTACATCCTGTAAGCCTTTGTACTTAAAAAGTACAAGGAGCAGATGGCCTAGCAGTTATGTCATTGGACTATCACATGGCTGACCACAGTCCGAGTACCAGGCATGGTATCTTAAAACTCACACTGTGTATATGTGCATGCATGCCCAAGATCTCAGGAGAAAGGAGGAGAAGGGACTGTGGTGTGACCATCCCCCCTAGGGAGAGATTTCTTACTTTCCCTCTCACTGTCTTGGTCTCTCTCTAACGTGCATATGTGTACTAAGGGAAAAACTCCTACACACAAAAAAATTTTTAATTAATAAACAAAACATAAGGATTTGTTACTCATACAAGAGTACTGCATTACATTTTATTTACATTTTAAAAATTGGTTTAAACTAAAAGTGTCTATAGTCTAATTTTCCTATTTTATATAATGTAAAATAGGCTCTTATGGGTCAGTGGGAAGCACTGTGGTTAAGGTAGTAGATCCCACACATGGCTGAGTATGTGGTTCAAGTCCCAGATCCAGTGACATGAAAACCATGCCAGGCACATGAGTTAGTGAGTGAATGTGTGTATATACCCAAAAATCACAGGAAAGAGGAGGAAAAAGGATTTCAGAATTGGCCATCCCCCAAGGTTGAGAGGATGGACGGAATTCTTTCTGGTGAGTCTGTGTGTCCTATAGCAAAAATACCTTCAAAAAACAGAAGAAATAAAAGCTCTTATACATTCTCTGCAGATTTTATCATCTTAATAAGACACTGCTGTTATTAAGTGGAAAAGTCTTTGAAACCACGTAAGTCACAAAATTTGTTGAGGGATAGGAAAGGTATTGCAAGTCATGTTTGTGTTAACCTCAATGTCACACAAGAAATTTTGAAAGTAAAAAAAAATAGTTCATTTGATTGAAATCTGGTAAAGAAAACAGATAACACTAGCCAAAATGTCAGAATGTCTAGCATCTACAAATAACCAGACTCTGAGAAAGACACATCTCAAATCTAATTTCTTCCCATTTTTCTTATAAGGCAGAAATACTTTGGCAAACCCTTCCTGAACTACTAGGAAAACCTATCAAGATAGAGGGTGCATCCGCTTTTCTCTACTTGCCAAAGTTGGTGACACATCAAGTTTAAGTGAGTTCAGAAACAGGAAACAATGACAACGAATTGAAAGAATGGATTCTATTTAGAGAGCACTGTAGACAGACACTCAGGAAAACAGGTTATAACTTCACACCAGGCCACACTCTGAGCTTTCTCCAATAAGTAACACTCTTAGGGCTTTGCCTATCCAAGTCAAACTCTCTATCCTATCTAAAGGTTGGTCCAAACCTCTGAGCAGCATCCAGTACTTCAGGAGAAGGTAGGATTGTCCAAATTTTGTCTCTAGGAAGAAAGATCAATAATTACTTTAAGTAAACTGACATTTTTTTTTCTTTTCCCAGGCTCTTCTGCCACTACTCTGACATTCTAATACACTATTCAGGCCACAGGAGTATTCTTTCAGGTAAGATTCCTACTTGTATAGTATAATTTTCTAACTTCCCAATACTTACTTTATTCCAAATAAAATGCTACCATTCATCAGTACTTCAAACTGCCTATCAGAAATTAGTGTCACTGGATTCTGAATTTGAACTCATATAAGATTATTTTTTTCCCCTTTAGGTTTTTTGCCATAGGGAGACTGTGCTTGCTACAGAGTGGCAGAAAGGAGGGAGGGGGATGAGAAAACACCCAGCAAGGATGATGGCCACACCACAATCCTTTCTCTTCCATTCTCCTCCTGGAATTACTGCCAGATCTTGGACTGAAGGAAAGGCTGCTGCTTTCTTCAGCCAAGTGGGAGTTCAAAACCTTAACCACTACACCACCTGATGGCCCCTAAAAGTTTTTAAAGTTATCCAGGAGTGGGCCAGCCAGTGGCATTGAGGATAGGCTGCTAGATCCACATGCAACTTTGTAGTTTGATTCCCAGATCCTCGCATTTTGAAACTCACACTGGGTGCATGTGTGTGCCCAAAATCCCAAGAGGAAAATGGAGAAGAAGGGATTTTGGCATGCCCACCCCCATGGGGGGTGATTTCTCCTTTCTCCTACCTATCCTGCCCATCTCTGTCTCTCTCAGGCAAGTACTTGTGCCCCATAGCAAAAATCTGAAAAGAAAAATGTAACTTACTCAGGAGTGCTAGGTAGGCCAAGAAATGCAGGAGGTGACCAGAGGTTTCATTCACTTTAAGACACCAAGACACCCCACAAATACAGCTGCCATAGGAACACTCTGTCTACAAAGACTCCACAGTTATTTCACTGGGAAAGGGGTGGGGGGTATTTCACTAGAACAGGCTAGTATTATAGATGAGTATACTTAATGAGATACAGAGTAGCATCCATGCTATGAAGTGCTAGGTGTTCAGATCCAAAACCTGGGCAGGTTCTTATATAAAGGCCACAAAGAATGATAAATGTGGACAAAAGGAGCGGATAGTAATCAAAGCTTATTAGAAAACAGTCAAAGCTTCCAGCTAAGCAAATGGGTATACTCAGGGTGTCAGAATGAATCCTGACAAAAATAAAATTAAAAAACAATGTGAAAAATAATTTTGTCTAAGGAGATAGAGAAAAAAAAAATACTTTTTAAAAAGCGATGCCAGCACAAGAGTTTCGTGTGACCAGGAGTCTAAAACTAATCATTGTCCCTGAGTTGGAAACTGTGCTCAGGACTACAGCCAGTTTGTCTATTTCTAGCCAGTCAGCAAGTGCTCATAAATTTTTTGAAATATGAAAGAAGGGTTTATTGTTCAAGGTCCTTCCCTCTGCTGCTCTCCAGACCAAGAGAGACTACACTTTTCATCTGTAATGTAGCAATGATACAGATAATGCTACTTTCAGCTGTCATTATCTTAAGCAGCCTGCAAGCAACTTTCTGTCAATGCAAGAAGCAGGAGGTAATAATTGATTTCTGCTTAGAGTTGTAAATGTATTTTTTATTAAAAGCTTGACTGTACTGACTTCATTTGTCTCCTACCCTCCATTCTGTGGACTCCTCACCCTATGTACCTAAACAGAGAGCTTACTCCTCTTTCATCAGGATCCTGTAGCAGAGATGGAAGCTGAACTCCTGGTTCTCTGACCCCCTGGCTCCTCAACCTGAAGCAGGAGAACCTCCATTTTGAACTCTATATTGGAAAGTTGCTTAGAACTTTTTGTGTAAACAATACTGATTAACATTCCTGCAGTCTTTTCTAAATAACCTGAAACCTCCTACCTTGAGAACATCCTTAGTGATAAGCTCCTTGCACCAAGCCATGAAGACCATTAAGATCCCATTGTGTTTAGGCAACAGACTGGAAAGTGCCCTTAGTAATTATTAACCTACCTGACCTGGTTTCTGTTATTGCTTTCCAATGTAATCCCCTCTCCCTTTCTTCCCCGCCCCTCCTCAATGGTTACTGTTCCCGCCAAATCAACGCAAATGTGCTTTTTGCCTTTACCTTTTTCACTACACTGGGGGCTGCGGGGTCTTTGAGGTACATGAGTGCTCCCGCAGTTGCTGGTAATAAAGACTCCTATAACTTGGCTATGACTGGATGTCCTCTCCTTTCTCGCTGATCAAAATATAACAAACTGACTCCGTGCCCAGCTTGGACTGGATCACCCCATTTCCAGAGCTTCTGGAGTCACCGTTGCACACCTGAATGTACACACCCACCGTCTGACAAAGCAGCTACTGAAAGCAAAGCCCACGTCACCTCTTTCCTCACCCCGGACCTGCACACCCCGACACTCCTGTCGCTCTCCCCACCCAGCCCGGATCAGGGGCTGCACCTTCCCTCAGGCGCCCCTCCTGCTCCACTGGACATCCTGCCACGTTTCTGCTCCCACCAAGGAAGAGGGACTCATCTCCCCTACTCGGGTCCTCGAAACCCGCAACCCTCGTCCTTCACACTCAGACTCACTGTCATGGACACCGTGTCCAGCAGAGCGCGGTCAGCAGGGTGGCAGGTTCTCCCCAGCGACCACGTGGAAGGAACTGAGCATCACAGGCGGAGAGGGAATCCGAAAAAGCCGCCCTTCTTGGCCTGTGCTGATGACGTCATCAGAGCAGAGACTACATTTCCCACAAGGCTCTGCGATCATGGATTTGGCACCAAAGTGAAGTTTCCTGTGTTTTCAGGTGGAGAGTCCTGTTACCAGGAGACCAGAACCTGTGGGGAGAGGAACAGTCTCTTATCCACGTGAGTGAGAGACAGGATCCTGGCTCTTTATTAAATCCTGGTTTTGACATTTCAGGGATAAGGGGGAAATATACTAGTGGGTTGCTTAGTCAAAGACACTAATAAGTAGCTTAATGGTTTTGTTGTCTGATATAGTTATTCCTGTTGTAGGACCACGGACTCTTTGGAGTGATGCAATCTAAAGCATGAAAAATAATGTATTTTAGTTTAATAAACAAATCATTACTATGGTAATTCTCTTGCACTCATTAAAATATGTTTACCCTCACCCACTAAGCTGATTTTTGAGTGTTAATGGGTATCACAGTTAGAAAACTATTCTAGTGTATATGTGAGATAAGATATCAGAATTATAGGATAAGTGTATTTCATATTCCAAGTCTGTTTACACTTCAAGTGTCCAATAATTAATTTCCTAAACACTCCCATGCTTTATCTAACAAATCTTTAATTATTTGGGGTGTGTCTGTGTGTGGGAGATGTACCTGACTTATCTACTCTTCCTCAATTTTGTCCACAAACCAGGCCAGGAGGGATTTTATATACATTTTGCTATCACTGAGTTTCTTTTCAAACAGAGTTTCTTTTAAACTGCTTATCTTATTTTATTTAACTATGATGATGATGATGACATGACGACGATTAATTTGACCAGAGACAGAGAGAGAGAATGAGAGAGAGAAAAGGCAAGCTGCTAAGTCTGGAACTCAAACCATGCTCAGCCATGTGGGAGTCCAGTGCCTTTAACCACCAGGTCACCTGCTGGCCACAAATGCCCATCCTGATTCATCAGGGTTAATGTTAGACTGGAGAGGTGAAATGAGGGGATGGTGTAAAAGTTGGTAAAGATTGGAAGTGGTGACTGGGGTGCAAGAGACATGATCTTATTCAAGACTTATGCTTGGTTTTTGTATTTTTGTGTTTTGTGTTATATGACCTGCCATGTTCAAATTCCTGTATCTTCTCTGACACTGTAAGTGTCTTTCAGTGACTCTGTTCTATAGAAACAAAAACCTTAGTCTTGATCCCACAATACTCTTTCATCTTCTAGTTTTGAATCCCTGGCCTCCCTTCCTCCCACCCTTGGATACCAGGTCTCTCTTAAACATATTAATATGTTATTGGGAGGTATTTAAATACAAGATGATTTGGCAGGGAATGAGTGGGGTATTCAATCCCTAACATTACTACCTCTAAGATATAGTGTTGTTTCCTCTCTTTGAGGACTTCAGTTTTCTGCATTTTAAAATGAAGACAATAGGGTCAGCAGGTGGTATGGTGGTTAAGGTGCTGGACTCCCACATGGCCAAACACAGTTTGAGTCCTGGGCCTGGCAGCTTGCTTTCTCACTTTTTCTTATTCTCTAGTAAAATTTAAAAGTAATAACAAATAAAATAAGGTAAATAATGCCTACCCCCAAAAAATAAAATGGAGACAATAATGTACATTTGGACATATAAACCTCACCTTGGGTTCACCTCGAGTAATAGACCAAGAGGCAATCTCTACCCTCTTCCTAAGATGGTCAGTTTTCCAGAAATATGGAAAGGAGCCTCAGAGCTGCGAGTTATTTCCAACATTAACCATATATTGTGGTTTTCAGTGTTCCAGTTTATCCTTCTTTTGTTAAAATTATTCCTAAGGGAACAATTGGCCTAAGGGGCCAACTCCATGGACTTAAGGCTGCCAGATCCTACATGGCAGACTACACAGTACAAGTCCTGGATCTGGCTTTAGAAACATATGGGATGCGTATGAAGTCATAGCTAAAATCTCAAAAGGAGGGAGAGATGGAGGAGAAGAGATTGAAGCATGACTATGGCCCATTTAGGATGTTTTCTCATTTACTGTTTTCTTTTTCTCCTCAGTGAATGAATATGTCTTTTGGCAAAGTGAAAAAGAAAAGAAATATAATTTATTTCAGTATATTCATCTTATATCCTGTTACTTTCCTGAACTTATTTATTAGTACTAATAGTTTGTAGCCAGCTCCTTATAACTCCCTAAAAACTGTGTCATGTCATTTGCAAGCAAAGGTAACTAGAGGTATTCCTTTCCAATATAAATGCCTTTTATTTCTGTAGTTACTCCTCACAGTAGATGACCTTTGAAGTTCCTCCTAATCACATAGTTGTTTTAGAGCCCCTGCAAGGGGAAAATTGTACCCTTCTGTGGTGGCAGGAGTCATAGGC